CAGACTGGCAAATTGGATAAAAAGCCAAAACCCATCCGTGTGCTGTATCCAGGAAACCCATCTCACATGCAAGGATACACAAAGGCTCAAAATAAAGGGATGGAGGAAGATTTGCCAAGCAAATGGAGAGCAAAAAAAAGCAGGAGTTGCAATTCTCATCTCTGATAAAATAGACTTTAAAGCAACAAAAATCAAAAGAGACAAAGAAGGCCATTACATAATGGTAAAAGGATCAATAAAACAAGAAGAGCTAACGATCCTAAACATATATGGACCCAATGCAGGAGCACCCAGATACATAAGGCAAGTTCTTAACGACTTACAAAGAGACTTAGACTCCCACACAATAATAGTGGGAGACCTTAACACTCCACTGTCAATATTAGACAGATCAACCAGACAGAAAATCAACAAGGATATCCAGGGCTTGAACTCAGACCTGGAGCAAGCAAACCTGATAGACATTTACAGAACTCTCCACCCCAAATCCACAGAATATACATTCTTCTCAGCACCACATCACACCTACTCAAAAATTGACCACATAATTGGAAGTAAAGCACTGCTCAACAAATGCAAAACAACTGAAATCATAACAAACAGCCTCTCAGACCATAGTGCAATCAAGTTAGAACTCAGAATACAGAAACCAACCCAGAACCGCACAGCTTCATGGAAACTGAACAACTGGCTCTTGAATGTTGACTGGGTAAACAATGAAGTGAAGTCAGAAATAAAGAAGTTCTTCGAAACCAATGAGAACGAAGACATAACATGCCAGAACCTCTGGGACACATTTAAAGCAGTCTCTAGAGGAAAGTATATAGCAATAAGTGCCCATATGAGGAGAATGGAGAGATCCAAAATTGACACCCTATCATCAAAATTGAAAGAGCTAGAGGAGCAAGATCAAAAAAAACTCAAAACCCAGCAGAAGACAAGAAATAACTAAGATCAGAGCTGAACTGAAGGAGATTGAGACACGAAAAACCCTTCAAAAAATCAATAAATCCAAGAGCTGGTTTTTTGAAAAGATCAACAAAATAGACAGACCACTAGCCAGATTGATTAAAAATAAAAGAGAGAACAACCAAATAGATACAATAAAAAATGATAAAGGGGAAATCACCACAGATTCCACAGAAATTCAAACCATCATCAGAGAATATTACAAACAACTCTATGCATATAAACTAGTAAACATGGAAGAAATGGATAAATTCCTGGACTCCTGCATCCTCCCAAGCCTAAACCAGGAGGAAGCTGAAACTATGAATAGACCAATAACAAGGTCAGAAGTCGAGGCAGCAATTAAGAGCCTACCACACAAAAAAAGCCCAGGTCCAGACGGGTTCACAGCCGAATTCTACCAGACACACAAAGACGAGCTGGTACCATTCCTTCTAAAACCATTTCAAACAATCCAAAAAGAGGGAATCCTTCCCAAATCATTTTATGAGACCAACATCATTCTGATACGAAAACCCGGCAGAGACCCAACAAGAAAAGAAAACTTCAGGCCAATATCCATGATGAACATAGATGCAAAAATCTTCAATAAAATATTGGCAAGCCGAATGCAACAGCAAATCAAAAAACTTATTCACCATGATCAAGTAGGATTCATCCCGGGGATGCAAGGCTGGTTCAACATACGCAAGTCTATAAACGTAATTCACCACATAAACAGAACCAAAAACAAAAACCACATGATTATCTCAATTGACGCAGAGAAGGCATTTGACAAAATTCAACAGCCCTTTATGCTAAAAACCCTCAATAAACTCGGTATTGATGGAACGTATCTCAAAGTAATAAAAGCTATTTATGACAAACCAACAGCCAATATCATACTGAATGGGCAAAAACTGGAAGCATTCCCTTTGAAATCTGGCACTAGACAAGGATGCCCTCTTTCACCACTCCTATTCAATATACTTCTGGAAGTTCTAGCCATAGCAATCAGGCAAGAAAAAGAAATAAAGGGTATTCAAATAGGAAAGGAGGAAGCCAAATTGTCTCTATTTGCAGACAACATGATAGTATACCTAGAAGACCCCATCACCTCAGCCCAAAAACTCCTGAAACTGATAAGCAACTTCAGCAAAGTCTCAGGATATAAAATCAATGTGCAAAAATCACAAGCCTTCCTCTACACCAATAACAGACTTAAAGAAAGCCAAATCAAGAACGAACTGCCATTCACAATTGCTACAAAAAGAATAAAATACCTTGGAATACAACTCACAAGGAACGTAAGGGACCTCTTCAAGGAGAACTACAAACCACTGCTCAACGAAATCAGAGAGGACACAAACAGATGGAGAAACATTCCATGTTCATGGTTAGGAAGAATTAACATCGTGAAAATGGCTATACTGCCCAAAGTAATTTACAGAATCAACGCTATCCCCATCAAGCTACCATTGACTTTCTTCACAGAACTGGAAAAAACCACCATGAACTTCATATGGAACCAAAAGAGAGCCCGCATAGGCAAGTCAATTCTAAGCAAAAAGAACACAGCGGGGGGCATCACACTACCGGATTTCAAACTATACTACAAGGCTACAGTAATCAAAACAGCATGGTACTGGTACCAAAACAGAGATATAGACCAATGCAACAAAACAGAGGCACCAGAGGCAACACAACATATCTACAACTATACAGTCTTTGATGAACCTGACAAAAACAAGCAAGGGGGAAAGGATTCCCTGTTTAACAAATGGTGTTGGGAAAACTGGCTAGCCATGTGCAGAAAGCAGAAACTGGACCCCTTCCTGACACCTTACACTAAAATTAACTCCAGATGGATTAAAGACTTAAACATAAGACTTGGCACGATAAAAACCCTAGAAGGAAATCTAGGCAAAACTATCCAGTACATAGGAGTAGGCAAGGACTTCATGAACAAAACACCAAAAGCATTGGCATCAAAAGCCAAAATAGACAAATGGGACCTAATGAAACTCCACAGCTTCTGCACGGCAAAAGAAACAGTCACTAGAGTGGATCGGCAACCAACAGAATGGGAAAAAATCTTTGCAGTTTACCCATCTGACAAAGGGCTCATATCCAGAATTTACAAAGAACTCAAACGGATTTACAGGAAAAAAACAAACAAGCCCATTCAAAAGTGGGCAAAGGATATGAACAGACACTTTACGAAAGAAGACATATATGAGGCCAACAATCATATGAAAAAATGCTCATCGTCACTGGTCATCAGAGAGATGCAAATCAAAACCACATTGAGATACCATCTCACGTCAGTTAGAATGGCAATCATTAAAAAATCTGGAGACAACAGATGCTGGAGAGGATGTGGAGAAAAAGGAACACTTCTACACTGTTGGTGGGAGTGTAAATTAGTTCAACCATTGTGGAAGACAGTGTGGCGATTCCTCAAGGCCTTAGAAATAGAAATTCCATTTGACCCAGCAATCCCATTACTGGGTATATATCCAAAAGACTATAAATCGTTCTACTATAAGGACACATGTGCACGAATGTTCATTGCAGCACTGTTTACAATAGCAAAGACCTGGAATCAACCAAAATGCCCATTGATAATAGACTGGATTGGAAAAATGTGGCACATATACACCATGGAATATTATGCAGCAATCAGAAATGATGAGTTTGTGTCGTTTGTAGGGACATGGATGAATCTGGAGAACGTCATCCTCAGCAAACTGACACAAGAACAGAAAATGAAACACCGCATATTCTCACTCATAGGTGGGTGATGAAAAATGAGAACACATGGACACAGAAAGGGGAGTACTAAACACTGGGGTCTATTGGGGGGAAAAGGGGAAGGCCAGTGGGAGGGGGAGGTGGGGAGGGATAGCCTGGGGAGAAATGCCAAATGTGGGTGAAGGGGAGAAGGAAAGAAAAGCACACTGCCATGTGTGTTCCTACGCAACTGTCTTGCATGCTCTGCTCATGTACCCCAAAACCTAAAATCCAATAAAAAATAAAAAAAAAATATTACAAATCTGTCTTACAAAGTAACATTATCAATAATTTCAATGCTGGGCTAGGTGTCTCACACCTGTAATCCTAGGACTTTGGGAGGCTGAGGTGGGAGGATGACTTGAGCCCAGGAGTTCAAGGCCAGCCTGAGATAGTGAGACCCTATCTCTACGAAAACAAAATAGAATAAAATGAATTAGTTGGGTTTGTGGCACATGCCTGTAGTCCCAGCTACTCAAGAGGCTAAGGTGGGAGGATAACTGGAGCTTTGGGAGGTCAAGGCTGCATTCAGCTGTGTTTTGCCACTCCAGCCTGGGTGACAGAGTGAGACCCTGTCTCAAAAAAAAAGTAAATATCAGCATAAATAATAAATATTGTGTTTCTCTATCATCTTCTTGTGCTCTATGCTAAAAAAAACGGCCTATTGAAGCTGATAAAAATTGTTCATACTTAAGTCCTAATTGACTACAATTCTCTATGGTAAATCTTTTCTACTGTTCCCTAGCAATAATACATGATGTAACTGTATAATGGAATGGAAGTGTTTCTAAATGAAATCATTCTAACAACTCATAAGAACTTCCTGGGTTTCTGTTCCGGAATAAATATAGGAACTATTTTTATATCATGGGCTAAATGACTTAGCACATTTTAGTGTTAAGGAAATAAATATATTTTGTGTTTTTTGGCAAATTTTCCCTTTTGTAAAGACCACCAAATTTGTGGAGGCAAAGAGGAGAGGGAGCAATGTGAAGCATGGAGTTACATTTGCACTTACAGTAAGGTTATTTCCAGTGTCAGGCCATTTTGGTAGATAATGTTAGTTATATGGTTGCTTAGCAACCCTGCAATCGATGAACTCAGGACTCCTGTTTTGCTGGGAATTCCTAAGGAGCAAGACCTCCAGAGTCCTTCTATTGCTTTTAGATCTTTCAAACAAAAGATAATTTTTACAAAAGACCTGGGACATTCACACGGTAAGAGAGAAATAAAAAAATAGTCAATAGGATTGTATTTCTGTTGTTATTTTAATAGTGGAGGAAGATGTTGATCCACTTTCCATTTTTGCTGAGAATTAATAGATTGCTGTAAATTGCAAGCAGGAATGCTTTCACTTGCTTAAGAGCGGTGTGTACACCACAACATCTCTTCTTACTTTTTGCCTTTGAGAAAGACGAGAACCTCTTTTTGCCCAATGCTGAAGTCTCCTTTTGCCCTTTTGAGCCCACTCAGTTCTTTACTTCAGGTTCTTGTTTCATCAGTTTTCCTCCTTCTCCTACAGTTCCAATTTTTTCTTCTCCACTGGTTCCATCACTTAGCCTAAAAACATATTCACCTCAGAAAAACAAAAGGAAAATGTAAGACATAAAAACCCAGTTCTCAGGCTACTGCCTCCTACCCTCCCCTTCTCTTTCACAAGCACCTTGAAAGAGTATTCCACACTCGTGGTTTTCAGTTCCTCGACTCTCTTAGGTCACTGCGGTCTGGGAGCAGCTACCAATCTACTGAAAGTGTTCTTTCTGACATGACAAGAACCTGGTTGCTGAGTTCATTGGACAGTTTCAGTCATTACCTCACTTCTGTGACCAAGAAGAGGACGCTTTTCTTTTGGCTGTCTTCTCATCCCTTCCTGTGCCTCTTGCTCTGTCAATGCTGGGCTTCCCCAGAAGTTTGTCCTCAATCTTCTCCTGCACTGCATTTGTCTGAGTGATAGCATTCCCTCCCATGGCTTCACTTACTTACCAGTGGTGACTTTCGAATCTATATTGCTCTGGTTTGAACCTCATTCTGGAGCTTTAGGACACCCCCCCTCTAAATCGCTTCCCCTAAACATCTCTCTTTGTATGTCATATAGGTCCTTCAGAACCTCTTCTATGTCTTGTCATCTTCTGGTGTCCCCACCCCAAGGAGCACCAAGAGCCTGCCTATTCTTCCTATTTTCTCACTTAGTTAATATCATCACCATCCACTCAGTTTCCCCAATCAGAAATCTGCAAGTCATCCTGAATTCCTTCTCTTCCATCATGTGTCAGCAAATGACTCATCGGAGCCCATATATTCATCCCCTAAGTATCTTTTGGATCTAGTAATACATTAGCATCATGTTTAATTCAGCCCTTATACAAACAATTGAAATGTCTGAGTTGTCCTTCTCATCTTCAATCTCATCTTCCCCACCCTTCCCACAACCCTGTTACATTTTCTATCCCTGTCACTTCCCTGATAGGGGAAGTGACATCCTCTTCTACAGTATGCCACACAAAGCCCTTCATACCCAGCTTTTGACTACATTTTGCCATCAACTCTGCTATTTCCTTTGTCACACTCCACCCGACATCCTATGTTACATAGATTTGGAAGTCGCCACTGATTAATACATGTTTTCGAAGGGAATGACATCACTCAGGCAGACTGTGCAGAATGGGAGCAGAAAATGGAGGAAAAAACCCTGGAGAATCCTATGTCCATAGGAAACAACTTGTAGTTTTCTAAACTTGAAGGTTTGTCCTTCCCTTTGTACCTTTGCACAGGCAAGTCCCTTAGGTCTTTCTCTTTCTGTCTTAGGAAATTTATGCTTCAAAAATCAGCTCAACCACCACCTCCTTGGGGTTTCTTCCCCAGGCAGTTAAGCACCTCTCCTCAGTACTGCTCTGTCACATAGTACCTGAGTGTGTTTTGACACTTATCACATCGCATATGTGATGTACATGTAATTAATTATATCACATATAAACACATGATTATGTATTTGCAGGCTGGTCCCTGGTGAGGCTGTCAGTTCTCTGATGGCAGGCAAGATGTCTTTTTAAAAAGTCTTGATATCTCCTTATCCCTAGCACAAAGTAGGTGCTAAACAAAGGTTGAATGAAGCAATGATCAAACACAGATAGATATTTCAATAGTGACAATTATAGACACTGAAAAGGCCCTAGTAGAAGTTGTAGAATTTGCTATTCAAAAATGTCTAACTTATACCCATTAAGCAGGCTACTATTAGAAAAACAGAGAATCACAAGTGTTGGCAAGGATGTCAAGAAATCAGAACCCATGTGCACTGTTGGTGAGATTATAAAACAGTTCAAGTGCTATAGAAAACCACATGGCAGTTCCTCAAAAAATTAAAAGTAGACTTATCATATGATTTAGTAAGTCCGATTCTGGGTATACATTCAAAAGAATTGAAATCAGGGTCTCAAAGACATAGCTGTGCACCCATGTTCATAGCAACATTATGCATGAGAGCTAAAATGTGGAAGCAACCCAAATGACCACTGACAAATAAATTGATAAACAAAATATGGTTTATATATACCGAAGGGAATATCATTCAGTCTTAAAAAAGAAAGAAGTCCTGTCACATTGCTATAACATGGATGAGCCTTGAGGACATGATAATTAAATAAGCCAGTCACAAAAAGACAATGAGTGATTTCACTTTTGTGAGATATCTAAAGTAGTCAAATTAACAGAAACAGAAGGTAGTGTAGGGGCCAAAGGAAAACTTCCTCTTTGCCCTCTGAAGGTTTGCTGAACATTGGGGACAAATGGTAGATTAATAGGAGAAAAGGCCTACAATTTATTTGGTCATCATTTTACACGACATGGGAGCATTAGAACGAACACTCAAAAATACAAGGGAAACTGACAATTTTTTATGCTTAGCTACAACAAAGATATCTGTGTAGAAATATGATTGGACAAAAAGGGTATGATTTACTGCTAATAGACTGAGTGGGGAGACCCAGCAAGGCCCATCTGTCTGGATTGATTCTTCTTGGCCTCTCTGTGCAGCATTCCTTCCTTCTGGATATGGGGCAGGACTGTCTCTGGAACTGGGTATCTTATGACCCTCAGTCAAATAAGCTAGATCAAGATAATTTCTTTATGGCCAGTTTTTACACATAAAGGCAGGGGACATGGTAGAATAATAATTTTAGGTTTTATGACTGGCTTTGGGGAAAAGCGGTCTGGCTTCTATGACTGGTCAGACAGACTTTTGCTTTTGAGGTTGATTCTGAGACCTTCATTTTGGGATAATGTTTTCTGAACCCCAATAGTAGAATGGTCGTTGCCAGGGTTGGGGGTGGGTAGAGGGAAACAGGAAGTTGTTATTTCATGGGTGTAGAGTTTCAGTTTTGCAAGACAAAAACATTCTGGAGATTGTTTGCAGAATGACATGAATATACGTAACACTACCAAACTGTGCACTTAAAACATGGTAAGCAGTAAATTTTATGCATGTGTTTTTTATGATAATAAAAAAATCAGCGAAAGGGAATGCCTTTGACATGGGCTGGATACTTTCTGGAGGCCAAGGGCTGCATGGGAAGACTAAACAGTCATAACTTAGGCTGTTATAGGCTATATCAGGATGAATGTTTTTTATCTAATCTGTTTAAATGTTTTTCTTTGTTAAAACGATTATAGTACAAATAACATATAAATACAGTAACAAAATAGGACAATGTGAATTATTATATGATATGAATAAGCAAGAAATTCTATTTCCTATTTCAGGAAAGGTATTCTACCCTTCCCCATTTCTATTATCAGGCTTTAAGTATCACATAAAAGGGTTCAGTATTAACAGACACAGAAGTATCTCTCTGGGGGCTTACAAGCTGAAGACTGTAACTGCAAGGTAGACAATTATCTCGAAAATTTATAGACAGAGTTGTCCGAAGTGTGTCCATGAAAGTATGCACACACACATGTACATGCTGAGGCTGGTGAAGCATCCACGTGTCAGGATTTTGAAGAGTTCAAACAATGTTGATAAATTAAATAATTCTGCAAAAGGTATATGTTGAGAAAATGTATCTAAAGAGGAAGGAAGAGCTGGAACTTCAAAGCATCTCTACCAATCTTCATTGAGTTTAATAGGTTGACGTAAAACCTCCAAATAACAATCACCAGTCATCCAAAAAACAGACCTCACTTTGAGCTAATCCCTAGGTCTTTAACAGCAGGAAACATCTCAAACTACTCCAGTCGGGTTTCAGAAATTTCCTGTTTTTGAACCTACACATTTTTATCTCTCCCATGGAAAACATAAACATCACGGGTGAAATGGAATTCAGGATTTTTAAGTGGTCCCCTACTCTGATATGGCTCATTTTCCATCATTGAACCTCTGGGGTTGCTTCAATATAAAAGCCTATTAGCCATGGAAATGGAGCAGCTGATTCAATGTGGTGAAACTGACAAGAGAGGGTCTGTGCAAATTGCCACGTGCCTAGGGTGGAATAGAAAATCCCTGATATGGTACTACTTTTCTCTGTATCTGTAGCTTGGGGACACAGCACAACCCCAGACTTGGCTCCTTACTTCTTTCAAATCTGCAGGAAGTGTATCTCTGCTAGTCTGAGCCCTGCCATTTCTGAGTTGCCTTGGAGCTATAGGAAAACATCATTAACTCAATCTGTGTTACCCTGAAATGCTGAAAATAAAAATAGCATCCGAGAGGCTACTTCCCTAGATTCCTGTTATTTCACATAAAGATTTTATTTTTCCTTGAGCTACTGTTGCTTTCTGACTATCTTCCTCATTACAGATGCTCTTTCAAAATTTCGTTTTGCACCCAGTTATGACTGTCAGTAAGTTTGCTAGGGAGAAAAGAAAATATCCTTCTCCCTTCTGTGCAGAGGCAGGAAATGGAGGGGGGTGGGTCTATTGCACTGGAGGGGGTCCCCATCCTGGGCCCACATGTGTTTATGCAGATAGCACCAAGTAAAAGAAAATTCCTGGAGGAAGCAATCTGAATGGGAGAAATCACAAGAGCTAAGAACCTTCGAAGACCCTTTGAGAGAATCTGGAGGAAGAGGCTAGGCATGGAGGCAATTTCATGCACTTAGACTGGGGGATGGCGTAGGATTCCTAGGTTGATTGTATGTGTGTGTGTGAAACAAATGCCTGTAATAATATACTAAATCTTGTTTTTGATTTGTTTGCTTGCTTGTTTGGTTTTTGACATGAGCTTACTACAGGACCGCTGAGACTTGGCTGTCTCCTTCAGCACATCATCCTGAGAAACTCCTTCTTGGTTTTCTGTTCCCAGCTGAAAGATATTTCCTATAGAGAGGTTATCGCAACTTATCCATAAATGATGACCATATAATTTTTCATATAAACAGAACACATTTCAGAGTCAAAGTGGGCACTAAAAAGAATTAGTAGACAACTGATCCATCACAAATGAAAACAGGGACATCATATGGTCAACGGTTAACTCAGTTAGTGATGGTTATTGAAATCCAGAATGGGCCCAATTCACTTTCTCTAAGGGCTCCTGAGGAATGCTCTTTCCCCCAAAACCCTGGAAACAAGCATGGAACAATAAGCTCTTGGGATGTTCTATTTCTGCTTCATATTGTAGCCTCAAAAAGAAGCCTCTTGTTTTGTTTGTTCAAATGCCAGATTACAGTCTCTCCTCAGCCTAGCCTCTATTTAATTACTCTACTGCATCTTTGCTATTTCTCTTTGGCCTGTCAATATTCCCTTTAGAATTCTATCAGCTCATTTGTGCATTATGATAGTGCAGGCAGTCCACAGTCATAAGCCTAAGACCCTAGACAATCTAGGTGGGAATGTCAACGTAGCATACATGCATGAATTAAAGAACAATGAACTATTGTCCTGGATAGAATACACTATCAGATTTGGATTTGCAGTCAGACTTAAGAGTTCAGATTTAAGAAACATGAGACTGGCTTGGGCTGGATTGGTCAAGAAGGTCTTGTGGAGAGAGTAAAACACATGCTGAATCAAGGAGGATTAAGACTGATGTATAGAAGACAGTGAGCAACACTCTGCCAGGAAATACAGTATTATACTGTATAGGGAGACCTTTGAATGAGAAATGTGGCTTTGCAAAGACTTGTCATAGACAGTTCAGCCATTTTCAGCCTTTAAGCAGGAGAGTGACCAGGTAAAGTGGTACTGTGGAAAAAGAAGTCTGACAGGGGTATGCATCAGCAGTGGAAAGGTTTGAAGTGGAACCACCAGGATAGTCTGTTTAAAGAATCTACTTGTAACAAGAAAAACAATTTCATTGAAATTTAACACTCTGCCTCTGTCTTCATCCTTTTGCATACCTGTTAGATGCCACTTTCTGATATATTTCTTTAAATATCTCATTGTAAGTGCAGGTATATAACTTCTCTTTATTCATCATTATATTCCCCCCAAGAAAGGATGTATTGTTTTACTCTGGCACTTCCACATCTCACTACACACCCCCACAACAGCCTGAATATTTAATATATTACCTAGCCTTCCCCTCAAAATGGGGTACTACCTTTTCTCAATTTCCTTCCATTTGTTATTCTCACAAATTTTTAGGGGGCAACTTTATGCTATGTAAACTGTCTCCACTTCATACATTTAAAAAAGAAAAATAAACAATTTGTCACATTTATTAAAGGGGAATCCAAAAGGTGGAATGCTTTTGGTGTGAGAATTTTGCCAAAGTCAGAGAGAGTCAGGGGTCAGACAGGGAATTGGGGGAGCCTTTTCCTTTCCAGTCTTAGATACTATAGAGAACTTGGGATACTGGGAGAAATGTGGAGTACAAAGATAGAGACAATAATGCTGTCAGCATGCTGTCATTTACAATATGTTTGCTGCAGGTCTGCAGGCCCAGTTTCAATGTCGGGCCAGTTCCATTTGGCTGTGTGACACTGGGATAGTCACTTAACATCTCTGAGCCTCAGTTTCACCAGCAGTCTAACAATTGTGTTTTAGTTGATGATCCTTAAGTTTTCTTTCTGGTCTTAAGTTTTTTGTTTCACAATCTCGGGAAATATATATTTGGCAGTAAAGCTCCATTTTTGTTGAATTTCTGTTTAATTTAAAGCTTGGTCAGCCTATTTATGTATGTCATCTTGCATGCCTAAAGTCCTGAGCAAAAAAGTCAGAAAACGCTTTTAAAATAAGTCTTCCTGTATAATGTTCTACAAAGAAGAGATATTTATGGTAAATTGCTTAGCACAAATATGTATTTATATCAGGCTATTATAAAGCAAAACTTGGCTTATTACTCACTAAATATTGAACCAACAGCCTGATGCAGCTGCCAAAAACTTAACACACAGCCTCAGACCATTCATTTGAAGGACATTTCCAAATTATACATAATCCTATTCTGTTCTGCACTGATCAGGCAATCTAGGGTCTTTTTATTTAGTTCTGGACTCCACATTTATAAGAGATATATTGACACATTGAGTTCACTAAGAGAGAAGCACGACTGAAGTGGTGCAGGGTTTTGGAAACCTTTTTTAACTCTTGGAGGTACAGACCTAAAAACTAAAAGAGTAGACAGGGCTATTTCAGCCTTTTGATAGAGAAATGTACAGGTATTGACTTATGCTATGCTGTGTTAAAGGATATGTGGATGAAAACAGATATGAGTTTAAGAGAGGCAGATTTTATCGCAAAATAATGAAGACATTTCTAACATCTAAAACCATCCAACAAGGGAAAGAACTAATTTATATGTTAGTGAGATCTAGAAGATTGATTGCATTTACATTTGTCCCCAAAAGAATTCAAATAGAGGCGTAGATTGTTTCCATCCTGGGTGACTTTTTGAGGCATGGCTTTGCCAGTCCTCTCATGAAGAGGTGGACTTTGTTTTTCCTCTCCTTGAATCCAGGCTGACACCATGATTTGCTTTGACCAATGAAACTCAGTGGAAGCAATGATGTATGACTTTCAAAGCTTCAAAGCTTAGCACTTTTTTGGTGGGGGTGGGGCAGAGTACTGCTCTGTCACTCAGGCTGGAGCACAGTGGTACAACGTCAGCTCACTGCAACCTCAGCCTCCTGGGCTCAAGCTATCCTCCCACTTCAGCCTCCCAAGTAGCTGGGACTACAAGTATGTACCATGCCCACCTACTTTGTGTATTTTTTGTAGAGACAGGGTTTCGCCATGTTGCCCAGGCTGGTCTCAAATTCCTGGGCTCAAGCAGTCTGCCCACCTCAGCCTCCCAAAATGCTGGAATTACAGGTATAAGCCACTCAGCCCAAAGCAAGGCTTAAATAAGCACCCAGCCCAAAGCTAGGCTTAAAGAGACTGTAGCTTCCATTTCTTCCTTATCAAGCCTAGAGAAAGATAAATCAAGAAAACCTAGTCAACAGCCAGCACCAACTGCTAGATATATGAGACAAGCTATCTTGGATGTACCAGACTCAGCCACCACCCCAATTCAATGCAGCCCCATGAGTGGCCCCAGGCAAGATCGGCAGAGGAACCATCCATCTGAGTCCATCCAACCCACAAAACTGTGAAAAATAATAATCCATTGTTTTTTTAAATCCAAGTTTTGGGGCGATTGTCTTGCAACTTATATATTATTAAATGTCTTTCAGACTGATCTTATCGATTGCAGTTCCATAATGCTGTTTATTAAGTTTCTCTTGTTTGTATTATATGTTATAAATTGGTATTTAGATCTAGAGGCTTAATAGATTCAACTCCAGGTTTTTGGCAATAACACTTTGTAAGTGGTATTGCGTATATTGTGTAGTTCCATCAGGAGACAAGTAAAATCTCATTGCCTCTCTTTTTGTGAAGGTAGCAGCCACTGGTCATCTTTGCCCTAATCCATTATTTTCTTAGGAATTGCAAAATATGGATTTTCTATTGTTACTCCTTCATACACTAGCTGGGACACTCCCATAAAGAGAACCTTTCCCCCAGTTCATAAAAGACTGCGTTCTTTCTTCTATTTACCAGTTTCAAACCAATTGTGTTATTTCCTAGCATCTGCCAAAATTGGTTCTATTTTTGTTGTTGTGCTTTGTTGTTCTTAGTATCATTATGAACTCATGGGTTTAGCATATTTGATATGCTTCAATTCATTGCTGTTCATCTTCTCCTCAATACTCAAATTGTCCCATTTTTGTCCAGTGGAAGATTACTGAGTTTTTTATTTACAATGTCGATAGTTTTCTTAATCAGCTCAGGCTGCTATAATGAGATACCATAGGCAGGGTGGCTTAAATGGTAAAAATTTATGACTCACAGTTATGGAGACTGGGAAGTCCAAGATCAAGGTGCTGGCTGATTTAGTTCCTGCTAAGGGCTTCATCCCTGAGACAGAAAAGGAGAAAGAGAGAGAGGAAAAAAAGGACACTAATCTCATTCATGAGGGCTCCACCCTCATGACCTAATTACCTCTAAAGGCCCCACTTCCAAATACCATCACATGGGGTGTTAATTTAGGGTTACAGAAACACTCAGTCCATAAAATCATCTTGACTAACTTCTTTGCTTTCTCATATGGCAAGATGTTCCAGGTCCATCATGTATATTTTTTCCATGTCCCTCCCTCCCTTTTTTTCTTTTCTTTCTTTTCTGTAGTAGTACAGTGGTACAATCACAGCTCACTACAGCTTCAAATTCCTGGGTTCAAGCAATCCTCCCACCTCAGCCTCCTGAGTAGCTATGAATACAGGTGCATGCCACCATGCCTGGCTAATTAAAAAAGAAATTGTAGGGCAAGGCTAAGCCTTCTTGCTGTGTTGCCCAGGCTGGTCTCAAACTCCTGGCCCCAAGTGATCCTCCCAATTTGGCCTCCCAAGGTGTTGGGATTATAGGCATGAGCCACTGCTCCTGGCCATCTTGTACATTTCTTACCATAGACCTGGAATCAGACATTTCTCCAAAAGGCTTTTTTTCCCCCTTTTTACTAGGAAACAAAACTACGTAACCATAATCAAAATCTATTATTTCTAGTTCTTTACAGTGGACAGATGTTGAATATATGCATTTTTTAAAAAAGAACAATGTGAGTTTATACTGACTCCAGGAAAAGGATATTTAGTAACTTCAACTATAAGGGCTAAAAGAGTAGACATTAATTCAAAAGGGACTTAAGGAGGCATTTGAGTTTTAGGGGAAACTGTCACAATAGCAACCACATATGAGTTTCAGTAATTATACTTTTAGTGCACTTTGTACAGGTAAATAGGTGCAAAAGTCTGCAGTACAAAAATTATCATTAGTACACATTTACCAGTAAATGAACATTTACTTAGGGCCTACTGTATGCCAGAGAGTAAGCCACTTGGGAACAGCAAGAACCAAAAAAGAACCCCTTATCTAGAGGAGATCACAGCCCAGTGCAAGGATTCAAACTTCAGCACTTGTAATGATTAGAAAAGAAATGGAAGTGAGTTAAATGGGCCAGTGGAGTCTACAAACTACAGAACATATGGTCCACCTAAAGGGGCAACTGCTACCCAGCTCCAACTGAATGCTGTCATTACGAAAGGCAGGCTCAGTGTTAGCATATTCGATTGCTAAAGTACATCTCATTACTCCAGAGGCTAAGTCTTCTCACGACACAGCAGCTTCCTTCCCCATAGGCAGATTCTAGAAAGAGGGCAAGGTAGAAGCTGCAATGTCTTTTAAGACCGAGCCTAGGAAGTCCCACTCCATCATTTCTGCAGCTTAGGCTATAAGCTATAACTAAACACCACAGACTAGATAAATGATAGGCATTTATCTCTTATAGTTCTAGAAGCTGTGAAGTCCAAGATCAAGGTGCTGGCAGATTTAGTTCTTGGTGAGGTCCTTCTTCCTGGCTGTATCCTCACATAGCACAGAGAAGAAGCCCTGGACTCTCTTTTCTTATAAGGGCACCCATCCTAGCATGTGGGCTCTCCCCTTATGACCACATCTAAACCTAACTACCTCACGAAGGACCCGCCTTCTAATACCATCACATTGAGGGTTAGGACTTCAATGTATACATTTTGGCAGACACAAATATTCAGTCCAAAACAACCCTGCTGGTTTTAGGTCAGCGCTATTCAGTATTAGAGTGGACAAGACACTATGAAGCAAGGAATCACTGGGGGCCATCCTGGAGACTGGCTACTGCAAGCCTTAATTGAATTGCTTTAAATTTAGGGTTTCTTTCATTTTCTCTTCATGTTTTGTTTTGAGACAGGGTCTCAGTCTGTCACTCAGGCTGGAGTCCAGTGGCACAATCATGGCTCACTTCGGCCTCGACCTCGTAGGCTCAAGCAATCTCCCCTTCAAGCTTCCCAAGTAGCTGGGATGACAGGTGCATGCCACCACACCTGGCTAATTGTCTTTGTTTTTTGTTGTTGTTGCTTTTAGTGGAGAAAAAGTCTGGCTATGTTGCTCAGGCTGGTCTCAAACTCCTGAGCTCAAGCAATCCTCTGCCCTCAGCCCCCAAAGTGCTGGGATTACAAGTGGGAGCTCGCAGACCCAGCCTTAGCGCTTTTTCAAAGCTTACCTTGCTGTCCTCTCACATGCCTAATTATGAGAATAACAAAAACAACATCAAAAAAAGAAAGTAGAGAAGGCAAAAAGCCTCTTGAAATGGGTTTGTAGAGCCTCTCACCCTTTCATCCCCATAATAAAAAAAAAAGTCTAAGTTATTCTCTGGGGCTTACAAGGAGATGGATGACAAGAAGGCTGCCCCTCATAAACTCTTGAAGAATCAATCTATGAGGCTGACCCTTTTGTGCAGGTGTTGCTTAAGGTTGTTTTTCCCCAACTGGGTATATAATGTGTAATCTCATAACACAGATCCCATAATTTGAGTCTCCAATATCAACCCTTCTCCCCTAGTCCTATCCTCCCCAACTTTCTCTGGAGCCCCACACCTATCTTCTCTGGACTTTGGGTCTTCCTTCTTGGCAGCTGTTTTGGTCAGTGTTATAGATAACTTTCTCTTTAATCCACAAATTCTATGTAACATTTTAGTTAATATCCATCTGCTATACTATTTGGCAGTTTACAGAGATAAATTAAATAGAAAAAGGGAAAGAGATTGGGAGGGAGAGAAAGAGAGAGGCAGAACTGAAAATGGAGTTCTTATGTGATTAGAAATGGGTAGGATGTTTCTCTTCAAACACCTTTAACCCATACCCACATGATTGAAAATAAGTGAGTTGTCTCATTTCAACTACCCATGAAAGATAAGTCATTTCAAACCCATCATGTTAGAAACCCAGTCATTTTTCAAATTGCAGGTACATGGATTCATCTGGGAAATGGGGTGCTATGGTAGTGTGCCATGCCTCCAGCAATAGTGGTGAAGCTGTTAAAACTGAGCCAGGTGTTGCGATACAATGAAATAGAAACTGGGAAGTAAAAATTGCCTTGCAATGCAACAGTCAAGGTTCTTAGATGTCAAATGCCGATTGAAGTCAGATAAGATAGTCTGTCTGTTTTCATGACAACCCACAATGAGGGAGTGCCAAGCAAGCATCAAGTTGATGATACCTTGATGCCTAGTAAATGTATCAACACTCGTCATCCTCCAGGAATGGTAGCTGGGGGGTTCCTGGTGACAGTTTACTCTTTCTATGAGAGAGGATGTCAACATAGTTTCCTCTGACATAGAAAAATGAGCTACAGGCATCCAAAATTTGAAAAGAAACCATGGGAAAAGTATTATTTATCTTTCACTGTGAGTAGTGTTTATGGCCTGCAGATAACTCAATCCAGGGATAAAGTCATGAAGACAGAACTGGAGGAACATTGATAGGTTCCAAGTTCATGTTTCTATATTCAAGAAGAGCTGTGCCAACCCATGATTGATGGAGAAGTGGGGAATATTGACGGAGATCTTTTGGCCTAAATGGCCAAATGCAATGGTGTTGTGAGGGTCTGCAGTGGCACATAGTTTTTCATTCACTTGTATTTTTGTTTGTTTGTTTTCTGGCAGGGTTTCACTCTGTTACCCAGGCTGGAGTGCAGTGGTGTAATCTTGGTTCACTGCAATCTCTGCCTCCCAGGTTCAAGCAGTTTTCCTGCCTCAGCCTCCCTAGTAGCTGGGATTACCAGTGTACATCGTCATGCCAGGCTAATTTTTTTTCTGTGTTTTTGGTAAAGATGGGGTTTCACCATGTTGGGCAGGCTGGTCTCAAACTCCTGACTCAAGTGATCCACCTGCCTTGGCCTCTCAAAGTCCTAGGATTACAGGTGTGAGCCACTGTGCCCAGCCTCCATTGCATTTTGTTTTGTTTTGTATTTTTGGTTTTTAAAAACCTCTTATTCAAGTAGGTAAGCAGAGGCATTTAAAGTTTGTGTCATGGATGGAAAAGAACATCCAGAATGAACTCTTGATTGAAAAGGAAGATATGAAAAATACAGAAATAAAGTATGCACAAAGGGAATGATCCAGAAATTTACTATTTTAAGAAGGAATCCAGATCTGCCTCTCAGCTGCAAAGAAGCAGATTCACAGTTAGCAAGCTAGAGTCAGAGTCTAAAGTGTCTTCCAATCCAGGAAAAAATCAGCAGTCCAAGTAGATGGAGCAAAGTTTGAATCCAGTGAGTCTAAACAAACTGGTTAAGGTTAGCACCTATAGTAGGGAAACCAAGGAAATGGGCAGAGAGCAGATAGATCCAGGGACGATTTCCCAAGCCTCAGCATAGAAGGGCAAGTTCCACACTGCCAGGTTAATAGTTTATTACTGATCCAAAACAAAACTAGCAACTTTGTCCCTCAAGTCTGATATATTTTGCCTGGGAATGGACACACAGGCCAGTTGTGACCTGGCCTGAATCCATTCATGCCACCTCATCTCTCAGCTTACATTTTACTCTTTAGCAGGAACTAGCTTCTGTTTGCCAAGTGTGCTATAAAGTGCTATTTATTCTTCTTGAAGGTCCTAATCCTTCGTACCTTCCTGGAATGCTCACCCGTCAATATTCAGCTCAGAAGTTACTTTCTGAGCTCCATAAACAACACGCACTCACACTCAATGACACACACATAGCCACAGTCACACTCACACACATACCACCACCACCAAAACACCATATGCACCCCACACACATACACACACTTAGACAAGCAACACACTTATACACCAATCACACACACATATCACACACACTCACTGAAACACACACTACAAAAATTAAGAACCCTTTCCTCAGTACTGGCAATCTAAGTCTATAGGCCTCTACTGTTTAACACATCATACAATTCTAAACAGTATTTTCTTATAATTTTTCAAAGAAACTGAACCCAATTAGAACATTTCAAGTTGTGTAAATTCTAAAGTGGTTTGCAACCATTGCTTAACCCAATCCCATTTTTGCACTCCCCACCCACAGCCCCAAGAAATGTCATAATTCTAGGATTCTGAGACAATGTCAGTTCAAAATCTTTTATAGGTGAGTAGAAGGAAGCCACAATCTACTGACAGCTTCGATATAGTCAGAAGGATTTCCTTTCTGTTTTCTTGAGTCAAGTAAAAAGAGAACAATCTCAGTCACATATACAAATATATCAATTGGGAATGCCATGATTACATTTCCCCCTAGAGAAGAGAAGAGGTACTTGGCCTCGGACTTACTTCTTTTTAACCTTAGCTCTTCATCCTGGGAAACTTTGATATTTCCAACATGACACCAATTATCTTCTTAGCAATTATCTCAAATAGGATCAGATCTCCTTCCTTTCTAATAAAGATTACTTTATTTCTTTCTTGAAAAAGAAGAAAGAATTCCTTTGAAAGTATAAACCCAATCGTAATAGAGCATGATTTAAAAAAGTAAACTTAGTAAATATGTGAGTTTATAACAGGAGGCCCTATAAGCTGAACTCTAATTATAGCACATAAGAAATAGCTAGTCTATGGACAAAGTCTGCTATGAAACAGCCATGAAATAGCCAAAAGCAGGAGGAGTGACAGACAATGAAAGAAAAGTAGGAGGCTGGGCATGATGGCTCATGCCTACAGTCCCAATACTTTGGGAGGCTAGGGCAGGTGGATGACTTGAGCCTAGGCATTGAAGACCAACCTGCACAATATGGCAAAATAGCATTTCTACAAAAAATAAAAAATTAGCTGGCTGTGGTGGCACATGCATCTGGTCCTACCTACTTCAGCTACTTGAAAGGCTGAGATTGGAGAATCACTCGAGCCAGGGAGGTCAAGGCTGCAGGGAGCTGAGATTGCACTGCACTCTAGTCTGGCTGTCAGGGTGACATCCTGTCAAGAAAGGAAAGAAAGGGAGGGAGAGGGAGAGGGAGGTAGGGAGGGAGGAAAGAAGGAAGGAGGGAGGGAGGGAAGGAGGAAGGGAGGGAGAGAGGAAGGGAGGAAGGAAGGAGAAAAGAAAGAAAAGAAAAGAGAACAGCAGGGGGCCTCAGTAATTGATCCTTAAATTACCTAAAAAGCTGTCTTACCATTAATGTGGAATTTTGGCATTTCAACTGGAAGGAAAATGAAGGTAGTTACATCCTTTCTCTCCATTTAGGGTTGTCCTGAAAGCAAGCTCTTTCCAAGGATAAATGTTACACACCTTAAAGAGCAGAACAAGGTTTTACAGTTGCGCGATTCTAGAAGGGATGGTGTTACATCTTCTAATTCATTACCACGCATTATCTATGGCTTTTGGGTAATTGTGCAAATAATGCTCTTGACAACCATTCCCCCTCTTTAACTCTGAGGCAAGGTAATTAATTAAGGCCAAAAGGGGATTGTTAATGGTTGTTAATGAACCACAATTGAGGGAATTACTTAGGAGAGCACTCTTAGAGCCTCTAAAAGCACAGAGCAACAGTAGCTTGGGCACTAATGTTCCTTGTCCCTCCCATCACTGTTCAGTCCCTGAAGGGCACATTAAGTGTGAATCAACTGGGAAATTTCCAAATGATAGTCCTGTCTGATTATGCTCATGTAACACTGAGTGGCTATTTATTTTCAAACCTCAGAAAAATGTTTAGAGAAACTTGGAAACCTTTCTAGGACATCCACCTAATGTGTAGCACATACCAAAATAAGGTGATCCAGACAATTAACTGACTGACTAGAACTCATTTGCCACTGTGTTATATAATTTGTCACACACACATGCTTCAAAAAGATGTGGGGTCTCTCACTGCTCTAAAGGAATTATCATCTTCATAGAGCCACAAGATGGACACAAAAATGAGTGGAAACCAGTGTGACCTGATATTATATAATTTTGTGTTAACCTGTGTGGTATAGACCAAAGTGCTAAAGAAGTTTAGAGACATAAGAGATAGCTGTGTTGGCTGCAAGAGCTGATCAGGCTTGAGAGGAGGGATCTAAACTGAACCCAGGAAGAATCAGAATAGCAGAAAGGAACAGTGAGCAGCATCAATAAAGGCAAGAGTGTGAGTCCTGATTCACAAGGAAAGAATTTCATCCTGGGGTCTACAGACCTGAGTTGCTAGGAAAGCTCACTTTTAGAAGGTTGTGAAGTCTGATGTCTTATAAGAGAAAACAAGGGGAGGAAGGGAGAAAAACAACAAACAAAGGAATAATCCTGGAAAAGTGATATAGGCCACATTACTCTGAAGTCCATATATTAGTAGGCAGGTATGCAAATGGCTTATGTATGTAAATAGGTTGCTGTTATTTTCTTGTGGAGTTTAAGTTGTCTAGCTTCAGTTTGCAGGGCTTTATGAAAGCAAAGCTTATTTTTCAGTGATTCTAAATTAGGAAAAATGGGAAAAATGAAAATAATTGAAAACCTTAATTTGAAGACTTATAGCCAAGAAAAATTTGAGTTTGGTCCAAACTGTGGAAAATAATAAAAACTGAAAAACCATTCTAAGACTAGAATCTAAAAACAGATGTACTATAGTTTTTGAAACATAATTTTTATCTCTCCAGTTTCCCATTTATACTGAAGACAAATCAAGGTATAACTGGTTTGCTTAATTATACTTGACCTAATTATTTGTATATAGTGCAGTAAGAATAATTATTTTTCTACATAGTCTTTTAAACTGGCTTTGATGGAACTATGTTCCATAGGAGAAATCTCAGATAAGACTTTTTAAAAACTAAGCTCAGCTATGGATTTGCGCCATCAAACACCTATAATAATAAAGTTTGAATTAGACAAAAATTGTTAAACTTTTTTAAAAGAACATTTTTTTAGAAAGGATGTTTTCCTGCAATTATATTTTTATTTGAAAATATCCAAATAATGAAATATCTATTCTTTGATTTAATGTAACTTTAGACTCTAAATTATGACAAATTTGTCTATAAGTATTTATCCTATTACATATACCTATTTAATTTTAATAATTGTTTACCTAGATTATTTATGAAAACTGTGATAGTCCTCATTTAAAGTTATGGAACCACCATTGCAAAATTATAACTGAGACAGTGGAAAAGATTTGACTAACTCCATCTTGCTCTTAACCTCCAAGCTGTCCTTGTTCATTTCTGGGCATTGGCCAAGCTAACTTTGGGAGGAACTTAATGTATAGTTTAGCTTTGAAGCAAAGGTGATAACAAACCTTACTGCCTGTGGACTAGACTGCCTAAAGCCACAAAATTAAAAGTTATGGTAATCTTAATAAATTCAAAATGTAGTTATTTTTATTAAACTAATATCTATGTCTTATTTATTAAAGAATACATATCAAGGTCAAATCCTCTTGCAGTGCAAGCTCACCTCTGGTACCTCAAAGCCAAAGTTAGGTCACACAATGCAGGAAAACAGAGCTTTAAACCTAAAAAGAATCTGTTCATGACGTTTGAAACTCCACAAAGAAAACAATACCCCAAAAGGGAGTGAGGGACATCTTTGTTCTGAATTCTTTAAAGGGGTTCAAGTCATTAGAAGCCTTCTCTAGATTTTTTTTTAAGTGCAGTTGGCAAAGGGGGAAGGAGGTATAGAGTAAAAGAAAAGTAAATGAAAAAACAATTGTTTTTTAAAGACAAGAATCAAACACATTTGTTTTGTTGTTGTTGTCTCTTTTTTTTTCTTTTGCAGCTGCAAGGAATTTTAGCCAATTAGAGAGGGCTTGTTACCCATAATTTGGAATTCTCACTGGATTTGACTGAGTCAGGTAGAGTTGGTCACATCTGATGGGAGAAAGACTGAAACAAATAACAACAACAAAAATACCCCAACAATATGATCACTGAGTGCTCTAATGGTAAGGAGAAATTAAGACTAGCTAGTTGTTAAACTCTAGCCAAGACAAAACCCCAGTTCAGCTACTTACCTAGGGATGGGTCTCAGGCTGAAGATTGCTTTCTTTTTTTTTTCTCTTTTGAGACAGAGGCTAGCTCTGTTTCCCAGGCTGGAGTGTAGTGGTGTGATCTTGGCTCTCTGCAACTTCAGCCTGCCAGGTTCAAGTGATTCTCATGCCTCAGCCTCCCAAGTAGCTGGAACTACATGCGCGTGCCACCACACTTGGCTAATCTTTGTATTTTTAGATGAGATGGAGTTTCATCATGTTGTCCAGGCTGGTTTCGAACTCCTGACCTCAGGTAATCTGCCCACCTCAGCCTCCCAAAGTGCTGAGATTACAGGTATGAGTTACTGCGCCTGGCCTGAAGACTGCTTTCTACCATCCTAGAAGCAGGAAAAAACTTGAACTCATCTTCTCTGCTGGGAGCAAGCTAAAACTCCATGAAGGAGTAACCTGCATTCCATCGTCATGGAAACAGGAAATGATGCCTTCCTTGTTGGAAGCAAGTAAAACAACAACAACAACAAAAAGGAGTTGTACAGCAAAATAAACTTTAGATCTTGACCAAATTTTGGGAGATCAGGGATTCTCTGGAGAGGTACTCCCAGATTGAGCCATAAAGTTAGCTCATGCTGCCTGAGCTGGTGGGCTGCCTGCATGTGCATTGCCCCCCTTACCCTTGGGAAGTGAGCACGCATAGCGTGTTTAAGGAAGTTGCATGCATGCACATCTGAGGCTCTCTTCCCTTTTCAAGGGGAGTATTCCCAGAAGGTCATACTCCTTCATTTTGTCTGTTAGTGGACATGCCTGGGCTCATTTGCCCAATACCTGAGATTTTCTCAGAGGCTCCTTTTTGCTTCTCCCTGTGCCTGCATTCAATCAACACTTTAGGGCAACAGGTATGGATCACCAGGAAATGGCATCTCCCCAGCACCGGCTGCTAATTTATCATTTTTAGACAGGCAGTAATTGCTAAACCATCACCCGACATTCCTAGTGGGTGGGGAAGAGCCCTCTCCTGCCCCACGCATGCCTAACTACCTGTAACTACTTAATTTTATACTTTAGTTTATCAGTGTGTAAAATGTGATAATGACAGTATTTGTCTTATAGAGTGGATGTGAGAGTTAAATGAGTTGAGGTACATAAAGTTCTCAGAATAGTACCTGGCATATGACAAGAGCTGAAGTAATGTAAACTCTTAGAGAGGCTCGACTGTGGCCTTTGGGGAGAGTCCTGCCTTCCATCCTGGGCCTCGCAGGAACAGCGTGATGTCTAAGAAAAAAGAAGCTTTTGTGGCCAAGTTCTAAGGAGAAGATTTGCTTTTGGCTTTAGTTTCTGAGGTCCAAACAGTGGAGAGATTAAGAGCCAACTCACAATAGACCCAGGGGAAAAGAGTCAAGGAACCAGCCCCTTGAGTTTCCTTTATTCTAGGCAAAAAGAGCCTTCACGGGTTTCCAGGAATTAGGAGCCATATCACTAGTCTCAAACAGACAGTGGACATGTGCTTGAGTTGAATGCATGTCAAATAAACTGGGAAATGTACTCTCAGCTCCTCAGTGAAGCAGACAAGACTAGAACTAAAGCTGCAGGTTAATGTTTCTTCCCTTCATTTGTTCTCCAGCATTAGACACATTTATATTCCTACATCATTCTGCATTTTCTTATTCACTCAACACAGCAGCCTGTTCAGGTTTGGCTTCTTTTTCGTTAGAATTGTTTGCTTTTGGCTTCTGTTTAGTTGATACTTAGAGTTTATGTAAGGTTTGCAGTTGTCTGATCTGTTGAAGCTGGACTTTGAGGAAGGCCTGTGATAACCTTGGTGCCAGAAGTTGAGTTAAGCTGGGGAATTTTTGAAATTATGTCACTGAGTGTTCTCAAGGAGAAGGATTTAAGACACGTATCTACAGATTGGGGCAAAAGTTGTATTGACAGGCTGACTCTTTTATTCTCATTTGCTACCCGCCCTGCTGTTTTCCTTGGTAAACAGGTGGTTAGAAAGGTGAACAAGAGTTGAAACTGTGAAGGGACTAGGAAGTTGTGCAATTGGAGAAAGGCGTTGGTGACTTATATAAATGTTAATCAAGACACCCTACTTTAAGCAAGGAGAGAGACATTCATGCTTTGCTCCCACAACAACAGGAATTAGTAAATCTTAAGATTTGGAAGCTTTACCCTGTTCCTGTTTTCCTCGTTACTCTAGGAACCCCAGGAAAGCCATGCTAATTAACAGTGGGAGACTTCCCAAACCAGTCATAGTTTGAAGGGTCAGTGGGCGTGAAATGACAACTGTGTGGGTAATGAGACAATAGCCAAGCATGTGGAATTCTTGCTTTTAATTATCTTTATCATGGTTATAAGATAATTCTGTGAAATAAATGCAAATCAAAACCATAATGCAATACCACCTTACTCCTGCAAGGATGACCAGAATGAAAAAATTAAAAAATAACAGATGTTGGCATGGATATGGTGAAAAGGGAATGCTGTTACCCTGTTCGTGAGAATTAAAACTAGTACAGCCACTGTGGAAAACAGTGTGAAGATTCCTTAAAGTAGATCTGCCATTTGATTCAGCAATTCCACTCCTGGGTATCTACCCAGAGGAAAATACGTCATCATACAAAAAAGATACTTACACAAACATATTTAGAGCAGAACAATTCACAATTGCAAAAATATGAAACCAGCCCAAATGCCCATCAATCAACAAGTAGATAAAGAAAATGTGATATAGATATATGCCATGGAATACTACTCAGCCATAAAAAGGAACAAAATAGTGGCATTAGCAGGAACCTGGATAGATTTGGAGATCATTATTCGAAGTGAAGTAACTCAGGAATGGAAAACCAAACATCATATGTTCTCACTTATAAGTGGGAGCTAAGCTATGAGGATGCAAAGGCATAGGAATGATACATTGAACTTTGGGGACTTGTGGGAAAGGGTGAGATGGGGTGAGGGATAAAAGTCTACACATTGAGTACAGTGTACACTACTTGAGTGATGAGTGCACCAAAATTTCAGAAATCACTACTGAAGAAAGTATTCAAGTAACCAAATGCCCTATTCTCCAAAAACCTATTGAAATTTAAAAAAAATAGCTAACAAGCATACCATAAAAATAATTCTTTGAGAGTCATCAACTACCCCACATCCCGATGGAAGAGGGGTTTTAAGAGAACCAGTCTGCCAGATGCATGTAACATGGCTTGGAAGAATCATGACTACAGAAAGGCCAGCTTGTGGAAATGGGCACTGGAGGAGACTGGTTAGTCCGTTGGATGGTGACAATGTTATGAAGCTATCTCTACATTTAAAGCAAAATATAAAGGTGACCAGGAGGTTTGGTGTTTATTCTCTAGACAAACAGTTGTCAGTACACTCCAGCAAAAGAGCATCAGAAACACACTTGTAGTTGAACAAGTTGGGTTTATTATACATTGCAGAGAAGGACAACAGATACCATAGAGAACCTTCAGGTGACTCAGTCAGAGAATGTTAGAAAGAACCTATTATATAAGCTTTGCTATTTGGGTGGTTTGGGGAGGCCTAAAGAAGCAGGAAATTCGCTCTAGATTAAATGCTGGTTGCAGGAGCAATTCTATAATTGAGTATCTCAAAACATGGTATCTGTAGGGAGAGGAAACTAGAATGAGTATAAAGTCATAGCTGGCAAAGACGTAGCAGTTGCGGCTGAGCACAGTGGCTCACGCCTATAATCCCAACAGTTTGGGAGGCTGAGGCAGGTAGATCACAAGGTCAGGAGTTCAAGACCAGCCTGGCCAAGATGGTAAAACCCTGTCTTTACTAAAAATACAAACAAATTAGCTAGGCATGGTGGTGGGTGTCTGTAATCCCAACTACTTGGGAGGCTGAGGCAGAGAAGTGTTTGAACCTGGGAGGTGGAGGTTGCAGTGAGCTGAGATCGCTGCCACTGCATTCCAGCCAAGGTGACAGAGTTAGACTCTATATCGGAAAAAAAAAAAAAAAAAGTAGCAGTCGCTCATTTTGGCTGGGAGAGGGGTGTTTGAAATGACACCATGACCTTGTTTTTGTCTATGCTTAGAATTATGAAATGGCCTCGTTTATCCTGATCTCAAAGTAACCTCATCTGACACTGGTATCTGTGAAGTTATTTATGTCTAATAGGAGAATAACAACTTACTAGAGAGTACCAGGGCAGCTTCTGAATGTCAGCGGCTACTTTCCTCACCCCCCACTCGGAATTTTAGACCAGGTCTAACCACTCCTCTGGACCAGGTTGTAAACTCGGGGTACTGAGACAGTGCCTGTTTGAAGAGTCAGGTTAGACATTATATAGTGCAGGGCTACGCAGGCACCAGATAAGTGGCAGACAGCTGAAACAGGCAGGTCACACAGGTGAAGGCAGAAAGGTTAATGAACATGTTTGAGCCAAGGCATGTACAGATCAGGGCAGACTTCATGTTCAGCTCCGGCAGACGTTGTGTTGCCTAGATCTTCAGTCCATGGCTACTCTGGCTTCCTCAAGTTTCTGCTGTTCCCACAGCAGAACCCTCTTGCTTTTTAACATCTCTTTGCCTTCTGATCCTTTGGTGTAAAGAATCCTTTTTACCCTCTCAAGATAGCCACGTCTTTATTGGCTTCTGGAAGCTTAGAATTGGAACCATTATATAGGTGTTCTTTCTATCACCATACTGCCTGTCAACTGTTTGACTGCAATAGATTTACAAAGACCTTTATCAGATTAAGTTAACAAACCCTTCTGTAATTTTCACACATGGGTCTTTATTCTTCCCCTTGGAGCCACACAATCGGCAGTGACTCCCACGACAGCCTTCCACACATTGGAATGACAGCTGTTGCACCCCTGGTAGGTAGTGTTGCCTCATGGGCACTAGGGCGGTGCTTGGATTGCTTCCTGGGACTGTCAGGCTTTGTAGTAGAAACACCAAGCCCCTCCTGGAGTTTTCCGGTCAGCAGAGAAACTGACATCCTTTGAGCAGGGATGGAGGTCCTGCTGATTCCATTCACAATACAGTGGGAAGATATAGCAAAATTCTTTTCTTAAAAATCAAGTTCTCTGGGATTTTTCTAAACCTGACTGAAAAAGAGAATGCTTCCCTGTTGCCTCCACTATTAGGTATCAATTCATTCATTGCAGTAGTTTCCAGGAGGGAAGCACAGGCTTGGTGTTAGCCTTGCCGCAATTTGAGAAAGGTTAAGTGTGCCTGAGCTGCACAGCTGCCATGCCCTTGGGCTCCTGGCTGGCATTATGTTTGCCTCAGAAGGTGCCAAATGTGCTGTGCTTCAAGAAAAGGGAGTGAGGCTTGGGCATGCACGTGAGCTCAGCCCCTGGAATGTTAGCTTTACTAGTACCTGCACAAGCTCTGTTCACCACAGATCCAGGTACTGTAGTACCAGTTCCTTGAAGCCTACTTACAACAGGGCTCT